TTTGTTACTTTATTTTCTTTTTAGTTTCTTCTTTATCATTCAGAAGGTTTGCACTGTATTCCTGTACATATTTGGTTTGGTGCCCAGAAAGGTATTATTTTAACAGGGCTAGTTCATTAAAAGTTATTGCTTTACAGGGGTTCTACCATGCATACATAATTATATATATGCCCTTCTATGATGAACAGTGTGATGAAGTTACCATAAAAAAATTTTTTTTAGGGTTTATAATCTCTGCCTTTTCAAGTCACATTGATTTAACTAATCCCAGCATCTAACTTTCTTACTTCTATTATTTTTAGAAGATATTAGTTGTCAAAACATAATTTTCTTTTTTTTTTAATAAGATTAGCCTTTCAGTCCTATTGTGACTGTAACTTGTCCTCCCTCTATGCTCTCCAAGGAAGAAGCAAGCACAGCTGCTAACACACAGAATTTGTCTCAGGCAAAACCAGTAGGGCAGCTTTCAGTGACCTGCTCAGGACTGATTGTGATGCTTCCTCAAAATCCTTTTCGATTACTATATTTTTCAGTAACTCCATGTCACTCCATGAAGAGAGTTTTTAAGAAAATCTCCAGATACAGAAAGTAGATTGGGGTTTTTTTCTATTTTTTTAAGACTCTGATAAAGTTTTGAATTATCAATTTTATGATAACAAGAAACTAAGTGAATTTGTAAGATAAAAAAGTCAAGAGAATGATATTTCCTTGCAACTACATGTCTCTATGAAACTGCATCGCAACGCCACGCAAGGGTAGATAAAAATTCACTGCAACCTTTGCAGAGAGTTGGCATTAAGAGACTGAATATCAGTGTGAGCAGTGTAATAGAGTCTTGTACCAGTGTAGCTGGTCAGGAGCCAACATTTCCAAGCAGACCTGAAAAGCATGTTAGATGCTGGTGTGACTTTCCAGTTACAAAGATGTCTTCAGTACTGAGATACCTGATTTACTTTCTGCAGCTAAGGCAGAAGGAACAAAATCATCTATTACATCTATTATTGAAGGAGACAGAACACTTGGCATTTTGCTGCTTCATTCTCATCATTGCCTACCTGGAGTTTTGGACAATAGATTTGAGACTATTTAATCCACATCAGCTGACTTACGCTTTTTAAGTCCTGTTTGACTGGGTTGTACATACTATGTTTATCTTTTGTTAACCTATATATACTAAATTGGCTTATGTCCTTCATCACATTGTTGATGGAACATTAAGTAATACTTTCATTCTAGGGGTTCCACAATTGCAGAATTATTCTTAGCTGCAAACAGACTCATGAATATAAAAAAAATTAAGCATTCAATGAAACTTGGAAATGCTGTACATATACTAAAAGAGTTTGCATTATAATTTTTAATCAGTGGGATCTAGAGTATAAAGAACATTGTGCTGTGGATAAAAAAAGGACAAAACCTAAAACTGCACCTCAATTATACACTGTGTAATCACTTTGAACTATTTCCATACCTCCACATTCATATTTTTTACAATATTTGCCACTTAACACGGGTTTCTACTGTAATGGGATTATGTGGTGGTAAGTGTTTGGGGGATGAGTAAATCCATGAAGTGGTAAAACAAAGGAAGTCTCTCACTTTGGACTCATACAAAACCTAACAGGATCTAGTCGTGCATCTGCTGGTTTTACATAAGTTCCTCTGAACATTTTAGAAGTTAATAGTGATTAAATTTAGGTTGAAAAAAATGTTGAAGATTAATTTTCCTGATGATAAGCAGCTAAATTTATCCTCCACTAATCAAATGTTGCAAACACTGTAAATGTTCACTACAGTGAAGGTATTGCTTTCATGGCGGAAGATATTAGTTTAGTTTTAGGAGAGAGTGGCAGTGAAGGTGTTTTTTACTATTGCCACCCTCTGCGTGAGACATCAGACTCTCTCAGCCTAATTCTCATGGCTATCTAGCAAAAGCAAGAGCTGGAGGCACTGTTTAAAGAGTATAGGATATGGGATACCTTGCCTACCATTTCTCTCTTGAAGACATGCTGTAGCATTATATGATCTGTGCTGTTAAGAGATATTGTGCAATTATCCTAAAAGCCTACCTGCACTACTTACTTCACCATCCTCTGTGATGCTACTTTGGTAGGTTTTTTAATATATTGTGTGAAAGTGATGCTGCACGAACATTGTACTTGATAAAGTCTTTTTTTTTCTGCAAGATGAGGCTGCATTGAATATAATTGCACTGTGTGGGGTTAACTCTCTGTAGCCTGTTCCCTTCGGCTTCAATGACTTGAAATAAAAAATGAATCTCTCACAACAATGAGACTCACTTCTGATAACACTGGCCCATTGACTTCAATGAAACACTATTAAAAATTATTCTCAATTCACTTTAATAGTCGTTCTTAACAGCGTCAGACCACTGATTCCACCATCATACTTTCAAGACTGAATGTTCAAATACCTTGTTTCTTGTGGTTGTAGTTTGTTGACTTTCTGATAAGCAGTACTGAGTATTACCTTATATGAAAGAAAGAAGCATCTTGCAGAGTTTTTTGCTAGTACCCTTTTAAAATTTTTTTAGGTGTAGGGAGAAAATGGAAAACCCAGGACAATTTATTAAAAACAAATGGATCAACAATTCCTCCTTGTCCTTCATGAAAGTCCTATGAAAGGTCCAATATGATACAAAAATGTATTTTGCATATGCTTTTTTTTTTTTTTTTTTTTTTATTTGAGTGATGCTTTGTTTTCTATGGAGCTGTTTTTTGATTTGCTTTTGGTTTGCATTTTTGTTTGGGTTTTTACTTTGTTTATTTTTTTCTGTTTGGTTTATTTTTTAAGGAAGCTGCATAATTCTTCCCTTAAATTAAACTGATGACGGAGATAATTGGAGGAATGATGAGCATGCTTGTTTTTGCCATCTTGCTTGAAATAGACTACATCTCAACTATTACTTTGAATAAGGTGTGTTGCAGTTCTAACCACTATGCTGTACTAGAATGTTCTTCTTATTCTTCTTGGTTTTTCAGACGGAAAATATAAATTGATCTTCCCCCACCAATCCAGATCTCAGGTTTGTTCTCTGTTCAAGACATACATATGGCCTCTAATATTTATGTATTGAAATTTGCTTTGTTTGAGCTCTTCAGAGTTTGTCGTTCATTTGGATTTTTTTGTTGTAACCACTGATTTAACTTGAAATCAATCCCTCTACATGCAAGACAATTTTGCCATTTTCCTTCAGAAGCCAGACAATTTATAGATGAGCTCAGACCAAATAAATCAAGCAAGATATATTTATAGGTCTAATATACCATATATATTAGTATATATTTTTAATCAACATCATACTGTCACTCTGAAGAAATAATTAGCTGTTAGCAGGTCATACACTTCTGCTGTCCAAGCAGACTCTGTTGCTGGTATCCAGCCTAGGACACCAGAACAGATGGTGCTCAGAGTCAGTTAAGGCATGTGGCTTGTGTTCATTAGTAATGAGGTGAGCCTTCTTTGTTTCCCTGCACTAATTCACCTGAATGACAGTATAACTACAATTCTTTTTAGACTGAGCAATGTCTCCACAAGAGACTGTTTACAGTAATTCTGAACAAAGAAATGGAGACTCACACACACATTAACTTTAGTACTTAGTGGTGGTAAAGGGCATTGACTCATCTTTGGCTCCCTAGTTCCTATTCTCACAGCATGAACCCTTGAGAAATCTTCAGTTTATTTTCCAAACAAGGACTGTGTCTCAGACAGTGGTCTCTGCTTTGAGTTGATTAGATTTCTGAATATTTTGTATAAAAACCAGTGGCCTAGCATTCAAAGTTACCAGGAGAGTCAAATTCTAGTTTCTTTATATGACAGTGATGATTCAACCCTGGAACACTTTAAATGTTAGTAGTAATTTTATCATCCTGCAGCATCATCACTGAACCTAACAACAAATCACTGGGCATCAGCTTGCAAAACTATGTTACTTTTTTAGTTATGGAATAATGTTTTTGAGCAGCCTTGGGAATCCAGAGAGGTCCCAGCTGACTGGAAGCTGGTGAACATTGTCCTGATTTTCAAGAAGGGCAAGAAGGAGGACCACAGAAATTACAGGTCTGTCAGTCTCACTTCAGTGCCTGGTATGGAAGTTATGGAGAAGATTATTCTGGAAAGTATTGAAACACACATGCAGTTATTGGTCACAGCCAGCACGGCTTCATGAGAGGAAAGTCCTGCTTATCAAACCTGATTTTCTCTTATGACAAGGTAACCCACCTAGTTGATCGAGAGAAGCCAACTGATGTCATCTTTTTGGGGAAACCATATGAGGAGTGGCTGAGGTCATTTGGTCTGTTCAGCCTGGAGAAGAGGAGACTGAGGGGACACTGCAGTCTACAATTTCTTCAGGAGGGGAAGAGGAGGGGCAGGCACTGATCTCTTCTCTGTGGTGACCAGTGACAGGACCCAAGGGAATGGCCTGAAGATGTGTCAGGGGAGGTTTAGGTTGGATATTAGAAAAGTTCTTTACCCAGAGGGTGTTTGAGCACTGGAACAGCTTCCCCAGGAAGTGGTCATAGCACTAAGCCTGACAGAGTTCAAGAAGCATCTGAACGATACTCTCAGGCACATGATGTGACTCTTGGGGATGGTCCTGTGCAGGGCCAAGAAAAAGACTCAATGATTCTGATGGGTACCTTCCAATTTGGGATATTCTATGATTCTGTGATTCTGCGAATGTATGATAAAATGAACAATATCAAAATGGAGTTCATACCTAAAAAATATTGTATAGTAATTTCAAAGGTACATTCAAGTTAGCGTGTATATAGCATGTATATAGTATATTTGGGTTTTCTCCTTTTTTTTTTCTCTTCTGAATTCTTGTTTTCCTTGAAAACCATATTAAAAGGTATCCTTTTGGTTTTTAAAGATCTTCCTAACAGTGAAGAAAACATATATTTTAAACTCAATACATTAAATAATTTAACTCCAGCTGTGTGTGATCCACAAACCAAACAGCACCATATGAATGCATGTACAGAGTCTATTACAGATTACAGGACTTAAAAGTAAAAGAAAGACAGAATGATTTGCAATGTCAAGCATCATCTGTTATAACAATAGGTTTGAAGAGTTTAGAGTCTCTCAAAAGTCAAAATATTTTGCTTTATTCCCACTCGTAGACTCTTCTTCACCTAAAAAGCAAACGTAAAAGAGTAACATTACTGGAAGTAGCAAGGATTCATAATAAGAATATTCTGAAAGCTGAGAATATTATTGCTATTTAAACCGAATATTTCTTCTTCCTATCTTCAGATATGCAAACTTTGAAGTATTGTAAGTGTATACCTTAAAAAGTAAGGTGTACAAAGAGTTCAAGAAAAATCTTAATCGTGGTGTTTTTCTACTTCAGGTATTTGGTATATCAGCTTTAGTAATTTTATTAATTTGAGATTGTTTTGTATATAATATCTTCCTTATTATGCAGATTTTCAGCCCTTGTACTTCTCCATAACCTAAAAAACAGTTGACTAACACTGATAAGAATCAAAAGTTCAGCTTTGGAAAGAGTAATAGAGTATAGTATATTCTAGATAAAACTAATCACTGTGTTTGGTTGGCATATAATGAAGGACTGGATACATAGACAAGTTGTGATGGAATTGATGGCACAGAAAATAGTGCAGGCTGTTAATTATGTTCTTCAAGATAGAATTATAACTTTTCAATTAATTAGTGATTGCATTTGAATATTGGAAGAATTAATGCTATATGATCTGGATATCCCAAAAATATTAAAATTTTACTTGTACCTGTATGATAGTTTTTATCTACATGTGGTTTTATTATTTTAGGATGAAATATTGATTTAGTTCAGTTAAAGGAAGTGATTTTTCCTTTTGTTTTTTTTTTTCATAATGAAACTTCTCATGATGCTATAGTCAAACAAAAACATTTCTTCAGAAAATTAGTGCACAAGTTGAGAAGCTAAGGAGACGAATAGTGATTATTACAAGTAGCAACTATAAATAAAATCTGACATTGTGCAGATGTTGTTGCTGCTGTTGTAATATCTACTTGCATGGATTCTCTGATGTTTCCTCTTGTTCCAGACTAAAAAGGCCAAATCTATGTCAAATGAAATTTGCTTGAAGATCTGTAGGTGGTTTTTTTTCCAGAATAAAGGACATATTTCAAAAGAAATGATAGTTTGGCTGGAGGAGTTCCCTTGCTTTTTCTTCCCTGTTATGTAATAGGTGATGCCCTTAGCAAGTAATAACTTTCACCAAGCAGTCCTATTGAGGGAGCAGAAATGCAATCATTACTGGTTGTCAAGTTATTAAAAGCAAATAAATATCCATACTGTGGCAAAAATAAAAAAGGTACAATAAAACTCCCTTAATGAATTTTGAACTAAGAGAATTTACAATTTTCTTCCAATAGACATCCATATCTACCCAAACTATACATACTCTAAAGCCAAATACATGTTGCCTCAAATGTGCAATTAAGAGAACAATGCCTTCATTCCATAATATTTAAAACATATATCGATGACCAGGAAATCCCATTACATGTTTCCTTCAGAAAGTCCAGAAGAGTCCATCCAATATGTTGCCAATACCTAATAGATTTGAGACTCAAATTTATCCAGTGTTATTTCTATGTTATCCAGTCATAAGTATAAAAATAACCTAATACGCTGTGAAAAGAGAAGAAAGTTAGGTAGCCTTCCTAAGTTCCAGCACGTGAACTAATCAACCTTATTTAGACAAAAACTACAGTCCAGACCACTTTCTGATAATAAACATACACTTTGAAATGGCGAAAATACTTACAACCAAAGAACAACAACAACAAAAAAACAATAGATAGAAATGCAAGTAACATGGATGGAGGTCTGTGAAGTGAATAAAGCTACCTCTTTAAGCTTTCTGATAGACCATGTAAAAATACTAGACAGGTTTCTATTTTAATGCAAGAAGATTTGAAACTGAAAGAGTAAGATTTTATATGTGTTTGAACTTTGAAGACCACCTGTGAGTATGCTCAATACTTGAATTTCTTGATTAAAAAAACAAAAACAAACAAAAAAACCCACAAAACAAACCAACCAACCAACCCCCAAACCAAAACCAAAACCAACAAACAAAAACAAACAAACCAAACAAACCAAACAAACAAAAAAAAAACAAAAAAAAAAAAGAAAGAAAAACTTTGGACAATCATCTTCTTCCCAGGAAGAACTGAAACTGCAGAATAATAAATAGGTATAATTAAGAATAGTACTTTGTTAGAAATTCCTATGGCAGAACAAGGATGCATATTCAGACAGACTAGCCTGTATTCAAGTGTTTGGCACATATATATCCTTATAAGTTTTGATTATTTTGGAAAAACACTAAGATCAAAGATCAGAGTATTTATTTCTAATTCTTATGTATGCTTTCAGAAGCTGTTAGCAGAGCCACAGATCTATATGGCTGCCCACCTGGGACCATGCTACGCAGGAACATAATGCACTGTCTTCAATGAGTGGAAAAGTTAACGCTGTTATAAAACAGAAAAACCCCACACCACTAACTACGGAGAAACATGGCTTTAAGGACATAGCATAGCTTTTAACTGCACTGGATACAACTTGGACAGTAAGGGAGGAGACACACACATGGGTAGTCTTCTGAATATTCTTGTTCAATGTTCATTGCTGCATGACTCAGCAGAGCACTGATGGTTGCTACCAAAGAAGAAAGGCTACAGTGGACTGTACTAGGCTTGTCTGAAAGAGCTCTGGATGAAAGCTCAATGCTTTTTTTTTGCTGCATGGATAATTAACTTGGATTTGTTCATCAAAAAATTATTAGGAAAAAGAGAGCATGTTTCCTCTGTTTTCTTCTGTTTACCTTTTTCAGTTTCTTCTGAATTGGAAGAGAATGACCACTTAGTAAGGGAAAGAGTAAGAATCCTCCTCTAAAAGGAATCAAAAACCTTGAGCTACCTACTGATCCTGTGTTTTCAGGACACACCAACAGCTGCTTCTGAAAATTATTGTGGCTTGGGAGCACTGACAGAGGCTAAAAATAAATGTAAATAAATAAATGAAAGGGAAAAGTATGTTGACTTGCCCAGTGTTCTTTTAAAGTTTCACTTATCTTACAGATGAGCACAACCAAAAATCTGAATCTGGTGAGAACAAAGGATAATATGTCATCTCTAAGAAGCCCTGGAGATAAAAAAACCCTACATGATTTGTTTTTCCACTTTCTCGAATTAAGTTGTGTGGTATGAATCAGATTTTCGTGAAGACGGAAGCAGCACAATTTAGTTGTGGTTTCCATGACCCTAAGTTGATGTCAATTTGATATCAAGCAGATTACTTTACTTTGGAGGCATAAGACTGATCTTGAAGACAACAGAAATGGATGCACAGTTGCTAGAAGTGCCTGGAGGAACATCACAGGTTAGACAGTCTTTAGAAGCAAGTAGAGACTGAAAAAAATGAGCTGGCTACCTCTTGATCTTCTTCTGGGGGTGCTAGAGAATTTGTGGGGGATCAACACTGCAGGAAACCTCCAGTGCTAAGAAATAACTCATTCACTAAAATTTGGGGCGGGAGCAAAGTATACAATACTGAAGAAATTGACTTTAATATTGATGTTCCAGGCTTGGAAAATGAGCTGTCCTCTGCCATTACTCGGTGGCCCAGAGGTGCTCCTTTGCTTTCACACAGAGAGCAAATTATGCAATCTGGTAACAGGGAAGACATGATACTCCTTTCTGAGAAAGCTTCATTGGTCAGAACATGCCTATGTACATATTTCTGGGTGTGTAAGCAATGTATCAATCTTTCTCCACTGTGGAATCCCCATGCTCAAAAGGCTCTCATCTGCTGGTGCCAATGAACGAGATCCTAAGATTAGCCTCAAACCTTCAGTGCATTTTCCCAATGGCAGCACAGTGTGCTAATCGCTGAGCCATTGGGATAGCCCTGTAGGGTATTCCTCTAATAGTTTTTCTAGTTCTTCCACTGATGTCCTTATACATCTTTTATGATCTCAGTAGTGATGCTACTTTCCCCAGGCGCTTTTTTCTATCTTACTCTATGCTTGCTTTTTGGTGTTTATTTTTTGAATGCAGGGGGGAAGGGGACACCTTAAACTTGCCCTTCATTCCTAGTGCAACCTTTCAGAAAGACATTTCCCTCATCTGCTCCTCCAGCCCTGAGTACACGTCAAGGAATGGGGAAGCTGGAAAATATTTCAGTACTTTCCATCTAAGTTGTGATGGTCTTTTTCCTGACTTCATGTTCTATGTAGAGTTTTTTCTTCTAAACAGATGAACAGTCAGTGCTTTTGGATTTAAAATTAAACTCCAAATATTTTCTTTAGGCTGCACTCATTGGGTTCACAAAGAAATGAAAACAAAATACAGCACGTGACATCATTTGAAAGAGCAAATTATGTTATCGAATATAGTTCTAGAAATAAACTGTATTTTTTTAACTGTGGCTCTTCCCTAGTATGCAGTGCTGATAAATAGTAAAAAGGAATTCTTTCCTAACTAAATATTTCTCTCACATTATACATATACAAATTCCTCTGGGAATAACTTGAGCAATATAACTTGAGATAGGAGGTAGCTGATATATGTGAGGTAATAATATGGAAAATATTTTCACTTAATGTATGTTATAAAGCTCTTGGAATATTACAGGAAACAAAAGTATAGGTCGGTTAAAGACTTTCTGTTTCCCTGTTCTGCCTATAATTTTTTTTTCTGCAGGTCCATCTTTTGTTTTCTTCTCATCTGTTATTTTCCTTTTCCTTCTCATCTTTCTCACTTTCCTTCTCACTATTATGCAGGGCACCTTTTGAGGAGCTGCTTCTGCTTCCAAATGATGATACATACTGGTAGCAGCAACCAAAGCAACAGTCAGTGAACACTTGTAGCGATGGTGAGTTGTAAAATAATAAATCAAATATTTAATACTTAGACAGAAGATGTGGACTTTATCTACACTTAATGGGTGGGGAGGCTGATTACTCATTCATAGCTACACCACTTGTGAATGATGAGGTCACCCCTATCTCAGGAAGATAAATGCCATATCCTGTTATGACATATTCCTTTTATATAAAATTAGTTCAATTTTCTCACTAGTGAGGAATCAGTATAACTTAAAAAAAAATCACTTCAAGATAAAGGCATTTTTCTATTGTAATTCATTATATATCCTATTTTCATTTTATTTCTGTTCTGTTTTGTTCTATCTTATCCTATTCCACGTATACTATTTTACTCTCTACCTAAATGATATCTGACTAAAGTGAAGCAAAAATTAGATGATACAATGAAGCTTTGTAGCATTCTCCCTCATACCTGTCACAGGCTCCTTCCAACAGCAGATAATGAAAATTCAAAGTCAAACCATTTAACTTTAAGTAAATGGAAATGAATTTCCATCGAAGAGATATTTTTTCACCTGTGAAAGAAAGGAACAGTAGTACACTGACAATGCGAATATAGACATAACATATAATTGTGATAGAATGGTATATGAAGAGCATAAATATTAAATGTTATTGTATTACACACTGTCATGTGTTTTTAATTTTTATCTTTACTGTGTTTTTGCCTAAGAAAGTCTACAGTACATAGTTAGAAACAGCAGTACTTTATTAGAATATTTCTTGTCTTAATCAATACTAAAGCAGCTTGCAGCATATTATGCAATAGTATATGGTACTGAGACAAAAACTATGTTGCTCAGACACCAGAAGCTGTAAATAGTTTTATCAAAGTAAGAAATAAACTAAATTAAAAATATTGGAGTTTATTCTCATCCCATTTCCACTTTTTTTCCACTAATTTGATGCATGCTCCATCAAATTAATTTAAATCCATCATGGTATACTTTATCACTGGTGAAATATGTAGCAAATTGGGTCCACACTATTTAATATGGCACAGATTATAAGCCTGATGATGGATATTTTCATCCGTGTATAAAATAAGTCTCAGAAGTTCCTACTGAATTTTACCATTGTGATTAATTTGAGGGGGAAAAAAAGATACAAACAATCCAAATGGACTTTTCTTCAAATATGGGACAATGTTTTTATTTGATATCTTTAAGAATTATGACAAAGAAAATGCTTCTGTATTCTATAGACATTCACAAACCTACCTTTGAATCCTGCTTATCTTCTAACATTTAAAACTATTTGCAAGTGGTTCCAGTGACTCAGTGGGTTTACTTGTGCAAGCAAAGTTATCCAGGCTGACTTTCTATTTACATTAACACTTAAGATATTAATCAATAGCAATAAGAAATCTTATTAAATATCAGAAATCCTGGTTCTGCCTACACAGATGGAAAGCAGTGACTCTCGAGACTAAGCTGAAGCAAGCTTGGCTAAAGGCAGGCTCTCTGTCCTGGCTGTCTCTTTGAAAGAAGAAAATCTGCTCAGAGTTGCCACTGTAGAGCAAAGAGTGACAATCAACGGATGGGGACTTCGACATGATTACATCCACTCTACTGCCTGGCCATACATTGACAGACAAAACTACTGTAATGGAGTGATCATTTGGAAAATGGCTACTGCCCACATTTAAATTCCTTTCAGTGTTATTCCATAGCCAATTAGAGTGGTAGCCCAGCCTATATTCATGCCAGTCTTGTACTATAATGTAAGAAAAAGGAAAGGAGCAGCTCAGAAGTCTTTAATTATTCCTCCAGCCATTTATTGACCTGCTCTCTAAAGGCCATATACGGGCCTTCATCTGCATGCAAAATTCCTATTGACATCACTGGGAGGGCCACAGGCAGATGGAGGGTTACTTTGTAAACCTTACATTTTAAATATGTTGTAAGAGAAAGGCGCAGAATTGTCAGTCCTTTAAAAAAGTGAGCAGCTTTATCTAATATTTGTCTTTAAACACGGAGTTTGAATAACATTTTTCCTAGTAATAACATCCCCCCTCTTCTCTGCAAGCTATCTAACCTACACGTTTCTGTAAAGTCTTCGTATTTAACACTCAAACAATTGATGTCCCTATAGTATAAACAGGATAGATAATGAATATAAGTGGGATAGAAAATTAATCCTACTTGCAAGGAAAGAGAGTCATAATTCACTTAGGCTTCTCAGCTCTTACGTTATGAGGTCTTCAGCTAACTCATGGGATCCATTCCACATCCCACAGATGCTCATTATGAATTCTTTTTATGTGCAACATGTGGGGACTAACCAGTTTCATATCTCCTGGTATTAGCTGCAATCCAAAGCATTTTGTATTAAAACAGAATGCAAACACAGATGCTATTTAATACAAAGGATTTGAATGCAGTCTCTGTTTTAACATAAAGTTAGTGTGTCTTAATTTGCTTTGGAACAGCAATGGAAAGAAAAGTCAAGATAAGAGGATATTGTTAGATTAGGAGCCAAGCTATGATTCCAAAAGGCACACAGTTGCATGGGAAAAGGGGAGAGTGGTCCAGGTGACAGCTTTGATTCATGGAAGCAAAGGTTACAGTGCCTTTGGATGGGGCAACCAGGGACATCTGCCCCCTTCGAGGATGATGTCATAGCCTTTCCAACACTAAGCATACTCTATAGTGTTGCTACCTCTGTTCTGTCCCATGCAACTCCTCTTGGTATGAGCCTCGGTTTCCTCAAAAACGGCGTAGCATTAGGGCTGCTATTTGTGTAAGGTGCACTAACCCAATGTGTTACTTTCTTTTCTAGCTGTCCACTCACTAGTCTGGTGAAAGGTCCAGTTCTCCTCCACACGCACTACACTTTTTAGCTCCAGCAATCAGCAGCTTGGTTTCCGGGGCCGTGGTTACCGAGTCACCTCAGAAGCCGGGAGGTCTAGTGAGACTCTAATGCGGGCAAGAGTCCCCTTTTTTCCCGTTCTTCTGCTGACCCTGACGCGGCATAGCTGCTATGATCCCTCTGAGACGGGCTCGTCGCCCCTCGACTCCCACTGCAGCTGCAGGAGGAGGGAGCGCGGAGGACAGACCCAGCAGCTCCCGCCGACCACCATGGCGAGGAAGCCTCCCGTCTCCGTGCCCACTCCGACCGCGTTTGCGGCTCCCAAATCTGAAACAAGGAGGGGGAAACACCGGAAGAAGGACGAGACACCTAGGGTGTCCGCCGCCGACCAGCGCTCCCGCCCAACTTTCCGCGCTTCCTTCCCAGCGCCCACACCCGCGCAGCGCCGCGGCCAGGCAGGCTCGGCGGCGGGCGGCCCGGCCGGGACAGGAGCAGGGGCAATAGCGCTGTCCTGGACGGGCTGGCAGAGCCACGCAGCGCCGCAGCCCGGGAAAAGCATTTGGCAGAAGTGGAGGAGGGCAAACCCGCCCGAGTGGAGGGCAGTGGGGTCTCCGCGCAGCCCCGGGTGGCACAAAGGAGCCGCGGAGCTGCGGCCGCGCGTCCCGCGGGGGCGGAGGAGCCCGAGCCCCTCCGCGCTGCTGCCGGTGCGGTGCGTGCCACGCCCGGAGGGGAGCTCTGCGAGGGGACTCGGCGCACTGGCGGTATAATTGATATGTTGAAGCAGCAGTAGGGATCAGTGCGTGCACAGACAGCACACACCTTACAAGTTTGACTCGCAATAACATTGCTGCACACTAGGAGGGGAGGAGAGTCAGCTCCCTAGAATAAGGAACAAACTCTGCCTTTGCACAAAAGCGGCGCATTTCCTCGCTTGTGAAAACCGTCGCTTCATAGAGAGAAAGAAAAGGGAAGGGGGGTGGGGAGCAAAAGCAAGTTACCAAGAGCAAGAACTTGTGCTGCAACAATCCTCCACTCTTCCTCTTCTCCTCAGGACTCTGGGAGCAGGGATATTCCTCCCCCTCCCCCCCCCGCACAGTTGGCGCTAACCCAGACTGTGGTCAGCCGCCTTTATTATTACTTCATTGAGACAGAGAAATCCTCTAAGACTTGCATTTTGGGTGGAGGGTGGGGGGTGGAGGGACGAGAAGGAGGAGGGAAAAAAAAGGCAACATTTGCTGCTCATCATTTTCACTGCACCGCTAAAGTAATTGCGCCCCCCTCTCTCCTCCCCGTCCCTCCTCAGCTTGGATTTTTCTCCTATATCTACAGCTCCAGTAGTAGAAGATATACCTTTTTTTTTTTTTTTTTTTTTTTTTTTTTTTTTTTTTTTTTTTTTTTTTTTTTTTTTTTTTTTTTTTTTTTTTTTTTTTTTTTTTTTTTTTTGTAGATCTGATATTCCGCTTTCCCTCACCCCTCACAAAATCTTCACGCTTTGCATGTTTGCAATTCGGTAAATTCCCCCCACCTCCTCTTTACCCCCGGCCCCCCCAAACTCCTCAATCTCAGCCCAGACGCTCACATCAAAGCGCCCGTCCTCACTCACAGTGGCCGCCACTCACTAATGGGATTGCAGTGTGCCTGGCTCTGCTGCTGCAGCCGCCGGAGGGAGAGTCGCTGCTGCTGCACCTCTTCGCCGACACTCGCCGGGTGCTGAGCCGCGGGGATGATCAGGATCTTCCCGGATTTCAGCGTGCAGGTGACGGCGGCGGCGGCGGCCGGCGGGGCGGCCGGGGGGGTGCCGGCGGCACCGGGCATGGGGCGAGCCGGCGCCGCGGCCAACGGCAACCCGCAAAACGTCCAGGGCATCACCTCCTACCAACAACGGTGAGCATCGAGGGGGAGAGGGCTGTGCGGCTCTTCTTGAGGCTCCCTCACTTGCTTTTCTTTGTGCTTTTGTGTTTCTTTGTTTTCCCTTTTTTTTTTTTTTTTTTTTGTTTTGATCTTTCTATTTGTTGGGGGGAGCTTGGTTGGAGGGGAGGGTGGTTTTTTATTATTTTTAAATTTTTCTTCTTTTTTAAAATACAGCATCTTTTAAAATGCACTGAGAAGTAAACACAATCTCCTAGTTTTGTCTTGGATGAGCTGAAAAGCAACAATAGAAAAAAAAAAAAAAGAAAAAAAAGTGAGACCCCGGCATCTTAGCTTGGCTGCTCCAAAGTTTGGGATCCCGTCCGCTCATCCTTTCTAAAGAGGAATTTCTCAATGTCAATGCCTTGTGCAAATCCCAGTGTGTGGCAGCCAGGGGGATAATTGATCATGGTATGCTGATTGATAATTTTCTTTCAACCAAGAAAGAGAACAATTTTCACTTGGGGTTACACACTTGCAATTCCACATTGTAGTTTTAACAGTATTATCATGTCACCTGTTACTACAGGGAAATATAACAAGAAACCCTAAGTATACTCAGCACTGTTATTTTTTAATCTTAAATGCATTCTAATGCAAATGCAGGAAATTCACAGAGAGCGCCTTTAGGAAGCAAAGCGTAAAAAGTTGGCAGTAAGTCATAATGAAGTTTAAAGACCTTCCCCATTCCCCCTAACAATTCATCGATATGTGCTGATACTAACATGAAGCTTTAATTAATTACCTGACATTTCTTTGTGTTGCTATGAGCCAAAATCCGAAGTCTGAATCTGTTAGTTTGCTCTCTCATAAGCTTATAACGGAAGCCGAATTTTCAAAAAAAGTAGATGACAACAAATCAGAACAAAACATTTATAATTCTCTACATGCAATAAAAATGGCACTGTCTTGAGTATCTTGCTTTCCACTATTACATTAAATTAAATACCGAGAAAAATGCTGTGTAATCTCAAGTGTCCAAACAAAGTATCTCTATGATGTAAAAGAAAAAAAATAGGAACTTTTAGTATAATACTTCAAAATTAATTGGTCTAGGAACCAGATTTAGATAATCGACCATTGCCTGTTTTGCTGTTCAGCAACTTTGTGTTGCTTCCTATAGTTTCGAAGCCTATGATAGAAAACGTTTGGTAGTAACTTTTGTAGGTTTTATTAAATGAAAAGTAATAGGGAGCTGATATTCCTTATGATGCTTGAGCTGAGAAACATTTGAAACTAAGCAGGAGTCTTGTTTTGCTCAAGCAAACACACCAATCTTTCATATATACTACTAAAAAAAAAAAAGTGAGAGATATAAAGAATGGATGAATGGATTAAAGTTTATTTCTTTTCATGGTTTCTGTATGATTTTTGTCACTTATAAAATATTTAAATTACAATGGAAACTGACGGACACTTTAACGAGGAAGTACAGGCAGCAATCACAATAGTTTAGTCTGTGAAGTGGGGAAGTCAAGGGTCAGAAATGTCAGATTGGCTTTTAGACAAATGAAAGAGACCTCTGGAGACTGAAACAGAATTATAAAGACAAGGCAGCATGCAATTTTTTAGTACTTTTTAGTTGGGTTATGTCAGTCTGTAATCAGGAACAAGTTATAAAAGCAATACTTCTCTGACAAACTACTAACACCTCTAATCTTAGCAGATATTCAAGTACTTTGACCACTAGGAATCCAGGCGAGTCTGGATGTCTCGCACACTAAGCTAACAAGGGGAAACAATTACGCACTTTTTCCAAATTTTGACTATATACTGTCGACAAAACAGCGTGTTTTATGTCGAACGATTTTCCTCCGTGCTTTCTGAAAACACTTAAAATACAGCAGACAGCGGCACCTCCTTAGTCTATTGCCACAGCCGAGGAGACACCTGTTAACTTTTTTTCCCCCTTTCGAAAGCGAGGAGGCAGGATTGTCGGCCACGAACGGCATCTACTGCTTTGCAGACACCCCCTCTCCGCAATCCTTCACATTCACCTTGCACTCCCGGTGTCTCCTGCCACCCCGGCGGCTCTGTCCTGTCCTGCCCTGCCCTGCCCGCCCCGGGGTCCCGCCGCGGCCGGGGGATCGCGGCTCCCGAATCCCCGGGGCCGCCCTCCCGCCGCCGGCTGCGCACGTGCGCGGCGGCCGCGAGCGCGCGGCGGTGCCCCCGAGCGGCGCTCGCGTCCCCCCGCCCGGGCCCCGGGGCGGCTCCAGAGCGAAGTCCCGCCGGCCCCGCTGCCTCCCGCGGGAAAGAACCCCCCGGCCTCCGGTGCGCGGGCGGCGCCCCGCAGCCAAACTTCCAGGTCTTTTGCTAACTTCTTCTCCCTGGCTCTGTCCTGCGGTTCATGCGCGCTCTTAGCCATCCGCCCCCCACCCCCTTCCCCCTCCCCTACAAAAACTTTTGGAGTTGTCGCGGAAACGTTTCTCGTGAATAAATGCTCCCGACCTTCGGGGCTTGCTCCTTTCCCCAAGGAAGCCCTCTGGGTTTTCCCAGGGAGCAGGATCAGGCCCGGGCAGGCAGCAGCAGAGCAGCCACAAAGTTGCCTTGGAGATGGAAAGCTTTTAGTGAAGGAGCGATTTCTCCTGTAAGAGCTATCAGCGCTCGGGTTCTCCCGCTGTCCTGCAAGGAACAATTAAGGTAGCGGTTTCTTTTCCCCGCTCCTTTATTTAATAATTAATTTCATAATCCTTAATAAAACAGCGTGAAGTGCTACACCCTTTACCAACAAAGCGAGTCATCACTCTCAGTTCACGTTTCCAACATTACGCCTTTTTAGCCCGCCACTACCCGGTGCCCACTCTCTGGACATGCGGGTACGTTCTCGCTGTGCCCGGGGGGTGCATGGGGTTCCCGAGCACCTCTGGTACGGCGTTAAGAGTGGCAGAGCGCGCGCACCCCCCGTCCCGCGGCTCCCATCCCAGCCCGTCCTCCGCCGTGGGAAGTCCACGGAGGACACGCTGCCTGCGCCCGTTGTGTACCCGCCGCCCTTCTGCGCTCGCGGAGTCGCAGAAAGGGTCCCTGCCTCCCTCTGCTCCTCTTCCTTGCTGGAGCCCAGACTCCAGAGGAAGAAAGTGTGCGAAACTGCAACTGAGTGGCGTTGTTGCGCCGGCAGCGGAGGCTGTGTCCCTTGCACGCAGAGCGGGAGCGGAGCTGGGAAAGCAGCTGGAAAATGCCCAGAAATACTTTCACAGTGGTCAAGCCTGGAGATCCCTGACACCCCTCCTTCTCTCCCCCGCCCCCGCCCCGCTAGCCCCATGGCCTGGCACCCCGCGTAGCCCGGTCCGGGCGCGGGTGTGTATGTGTGTGCGAGTGCGTGTGTGAGTGCGTGTGTTTGTGTGTCTCTCTGTGTGTGTGTGTGTGTGTCTGTGTGTGTGTGTGTGTGCCGCACCTGCCGGGCGATGCCAGCGGCCGGGCTGCCCGCCGGGGCTGCGCCGCGGATCGCGCTTCCCGCCGCCGCCGCCGCCGCCGCCGGCCGCCGCCGCTGCCTGCGCTGGGCATGTCTCTGGGGCCGGCGGGGCCCCGGCTCCCTCCGCTCCTCGGCTTATGGACGGCGGCAGCGGCAGCAGCAGCGCTAGCAAGCAAGCGAGCAAGCAACCTGCACCAGGACTGCGCGGAGGAGAGGGAGCCCGCGATGCTTTGGCCTCAGTACTTTTCCTTAGCCTGTCTGGCTAACCGGGGCCATTGCTGCCGCCGCTGCTGCTACTAGACACACAACACACACCAACATCAGGAGGGGGAAAAGTAAGGGAGAGAGGAGAAAAAAAAAAAAAAATCCCAGGAAGATGGCGCCCACCAAGCCAAGCTTTCAGCAGGATCCTTCCAGGCGAGAACGGTAACACTTTCTCTTTATTGAACCTGCAGCAGCAGTAGCAGCAGCAGCAGCCGCAGCAGCGCCGGGCCGGGCCGAGCCGCCGCCGCCGGGGGCCGGGGCTGGCTGCCATGCCGGGGTGGGGGGACCTGCCGCCGGCACCCGCTGCTCGCACAGCCGGGCACCGTGAGTTCCTCCGAGTGCGCACCGTCAGCCGCACACACACACACATACACACAAACACACACACACACTCTCTCAGAACAAGCCGCGCAGCAGCGGCCCCGCTCCGGTGGCCGCACCGCCGCGGCTGCCGGAGCCGGTGTTTGGCGGGGCGCGTTGTGGAGCGGACCTGTGTGTATGTGTGTGTATGTGTCTGTGTGTGCGCGGGGGCGGGAGGCCCCCCAGGCGGCCCCCGCCGCTCGGCGGCCCCGGGGCGCCGCGCCAGGCCCGGCGTTCCGGGCGGAGGGGCCGGCCCCGCCGGTGCGGTTCCAGCGCGGCTAGGCCGGAGCGCGGGGGGAGCGCCACCAGCTGCGCCCGCGGGGCTGCCCGGCCCGGCCCCCCCGCCCCGCCGCCGCCGCCGGGAGGGCAGCGGGTGCCGGCGCCCCCCGGGGTGGGCAGAGCGGAGCCAGTGCGCGGGCAGGCGGGAGGCGGGGAGGCGGTGCGCGGGGTCCGGGGAGGGAGGCGGGGGGATAGCGCTACCCCTCTTTTGGTTCCCGGCCCGTCGCCTGCCCCATGTACTTTTGTTGGTGGAGAGTGCTCGCGATTAATCTGCTCTGCTGGTGACACGAATTGCCCGTAGCGGATTTGTTCTAGTAAAGTGAATCTTTCTAGAAGTGACTGGTAGGAGACAAGAGTACAAGTTCATGTGATGTTACTTTGTGATTCTTACAAAAGTATTCAAAGCTCCATTGCTACACTGCGACGAGATGTATGCCCAGAAGGAGAGCAGCCAGAGGTTTTGAGGAGGGCTCTTTCCCTCCCGCCCCCTTCAGCGTTATAAGTGAACTTGAGGGTGAGGGGTGAGGAAGGTTCCTGGCTAGTTGTAAAAATGGAAATTAACATTTAGACAGCCTTTAAAAATAGCTGGATCGTGTGTTAGATGCTTTATATTTCATAGCATAAGGAAGTCTGAAAAATATTTAAAGAAAAATTCTTTAGGCTT